CATGGAGGACAAGCATGGGAAGCATGACGAACGTGCCTAATCTTGCACCTCTGGGGCCACTGCCGCCAGAGCGGGTGCTGACCGACGGAGAACGAAAAGCAGCGAACAGGCGCGAACGGGCGCGGGTGAATGCCTCAACTGCAAAAGTGAAAAAGGCGAAAGTCTTGGCAGCAAGACGCGCTCAGGGAGAGGTATGCGTGACGTGCGAAAGTTCTTGCGTCGCACCCATTAGCCCAGACCGAGAGAAGCACGTCACTGTCCTCTAAGGCTGAGCGACAAGAGCGCGACAAGTAGCGGCAGCAGCTGCTGTCACCAGGTCTGCCTCCTACACCCCCCCCCCCACACACACATACACTATCGTTGCGTTGTCGCCGAACCTGCCGCGGGCTTCCCCGGTGGCCTATAGGTGGTTATTGTTTGTGTTTAACTGGTGTGTATCTGGCTCGGACTGTACGCATGTTTGTAAAATACAGGCGGATGTGGGGGGTCCATCCCCGAGGGAGGCGGAACATCCGGCACGCAATGCGGTTGGTCTGGAAAGCGACCCGCTACGGTAAGGTTACGTTTTTGCCCGTGTGTGGCTCCCTCCGACTTTTTACTCATACGCCTGTACCAAGACCGGTGCCTCAACCTCAGTGCACACGTGTTGGTCCTTAGTGCTTGATTCATCCTGCCCTGCATTTGTTGATAGGTCCTGTGCTAAGCGGCAGCCCTGACAAATAGGTACCCCCCCCCCCCTCGGTGTTTGCCGTCGGGATTGGGTTTTCGTTGCTTGGCAACGACGTTGTCAAACAAGCCAATTCACTTCGTGAACTGGGCAACGAGGTTGCCGGTTTTTTTTTTTACCTCGTATTTTTTTTTGGCGGTAACCATAATGGTGGTCGAGTAGATCATGTTGTGCGGGGTGGGGAACCCTCACTCCGCGCAAGGGGGATGATCGCACCGCGTTGTGTTAAAATGGTCAAGCATCCTCGAGGCAGTTACACAGTGCTTACAACTGTCTCTGGAAGTGAAAGCACCAGAAAATAAATTAAGTCATACGCAGCTGTGTCCATACGCAAGGAAGTAAGCACAAGATGCCGAACACCGTTAGCAGGATGCAGATCACCCTTCATGCGACTCGCCGAATACCTCACGGCGCTTCGCGCTTGGTTATGTGAGAGCCTGGTCCGGTGAGAACCCGGCGTGCTCCGTCCCGGCTTTATAGGGATGCGAGGTCAATGGTCTGACGACTACGTCATGCACAACTATGAGTACATGAGTACAGCCCCCCCCCCCCCCCCCCCCCGCGGCCTTGG